TCATAGTTCTAGATCCATTGATATGTGGAGCTAGAAATACGTGGCTTTAAGAGGTCTTCTATCTGTAGCTATGCCAAACAGAGTCTAAATAAAAAAAAACAAATTTCCATAACAAAAGTAGGCCTTATTAGTCTTTGAAGATGGTGTGTGTTGTTGCTGGGACTGGACATGTGTCGAGTAAAGAAATGCTACTAGTTGCTTCAATCAACGCTTCCACTGCAATCTTCAGAGTACATTCTCACAAAATTTGTTTTCTAGGCTAGTTAGTGCCCCTAAGAAGAGGTCATCTACCTGTCAATTGGTCTGAACTTTCACAAGAAGTGTGTGCCCTACCTGACCGTCAAGCGCGCATGGATTGATCTTCATCCCAGCTCGATCTTCTCTCTCAATTTGACCAAAAATTTTCAGCATTCATGTGGAGTGCGTGTAGAAATGGGCAGCACACACAAGAGAAAAAACTGCACACCAACACACAAACATGCATTGCCATCTCTTTCACCCTCACCTAATGGCTACTACCACTTATCAGTATGTGTACAATCTTCCATTTTTTTCAGAGTAGCAAAGTTGTGTGCTGCTGCATGCTGAATTGCTGATGGAACGGCAATGGCAATGGCGGCCGTGATAGGCGGAAGGATTAGCTCATGGCAATGGCACTGAAAATGATCTACTGGTTTAGCTAAGCTAAGGCTGCTTCGCTAGTCAAAGATTGTGTTTTTTATTTCCTCCACTGTGCTTTCTTCTACTTGTAGGCGATGACTTATGAACACTTGTAGGTAAGAGAAAGTCCTGCAAGAACAAGTGTAACTTTCACTACAGCTGTTGTCCAATTTGTAACTCTCTTTTCTTTAATTTCTTGAATGGAAAACCGTTATGATCTAGCTAGTATGACTGAATTATGTCAAAGGCAGAGTTGCATTAGTACCTACCGGTTTTGAGATCTCATGACGTACACTCAAAGACAGTTTGACATGCTCGCAATTCGGAGGCAACAGATGATGATATTAATATGCACGGTATATACGGATCGATCGGAAACCATGATAATCTTAGGTCGGTACACGTCCACTTGTTTCGAACTGTGGACTTCTCACTTGTCCTGTTGCTCTTGCGTGTTCCCATCTATGTTTACAGAAATAGTGCTAGTACGAGATCGAGAAGCATCTAAATTTTTGAAACATTTTTATGAAAATGAAACAAATTTGACTGACCAAATAATCAGAAATTGATCCACTAGCTTGTACCCTCTAGTGCTGAAATTGTAAACCAAGAGTGCAGAATAAGATCAATGTGTGCAATTAATTGATGCCAAGTGCTCTGCACATGAATGATTCTGAAGTTGATGCATTGGCTACATACATATTTGCAGTCTGGCTACATGCAGGGTCAAGAGACACACAGAAATTAAAACCACATATATATATATATATATATATATATATATATATATATATATATATATATATATATATATATATATATAATTCAGTTTAATTTCTCATGGGTCAATCGTCAAAGAGAAACGAAGCACGTAATTTGCACGCCTATTTTTGCCGGCGCACGAGGGGAAACGATGAGCAGATTAACTTGTTCCAAACGAACTCTCATAAATTGTTCTTCTTCGCCCTTTCTCTAATAAAATAACAACAAAATTGCTCATCTCGCCAAAACGAAAACAGTTTTGTTCAAATCCTCAAGCGCTGATTCCCGATCAGACGGCTAGTAGTTGGCTGAGATTCTTTTTAAAAAAATTTCTTATAGCATATGGAAGAAGTGCATATATGCAGTTGGACCTGCTCTAAAATATATTTTCTAAAAAAAAATTCTTCTACTCTATTGTTTATATATCTGTTTTTAATCTATTTATTAAGTTTGTTTATTAAAATATTTATATATATAATCGTGTATCGTGTACATATATAATCCACAACAATACCCCTGGTCGATAATCTATTTCAAACTAGGCATACTCTGCATCGAATAAAAATTCCAACATGGTCAGCTAGAAAACGAACTATGTGTGGATTTATTTTGCTGTGAAACTGCATATGTAGAAGTCCAGATACACTGGAAGACGTGACGTCGTTGTCTACTTGGCATACCGGCCGCCTGTCTGTCCTTGTCGATTTCACTGCCATTTTGCGCGTGAAATACGCATTCCAATTGTCTGTGTAAAATACGGCAAGCTGAGTCTTTTTCTCTGTTCCTGTATCAGGAGAACGCACTCGAATTTGTTGCCACGCAGAAGAATCATATCACTTCATCTCTATAATGTTTTTCTTATGGCAAGTTGCATTTGTGCATGAGCTTAGAGGAAGAAATTGACAGCCTCATTGATCTTTTCGTTTATACTTATGTTTATTAACTAAAATTTAAATTTTTAACGCCTTGAATTTGAAGTTGATTTTGAGTTTTTTATCCATCGTAGTTTATTTTTCAGCTTTTGCTTTTAGATCGTTAATAACATGTATATAAAAATTTTATTCACAAATTATTTTTCATTTGTAAATATGTCATTTCGCTTTTTTCCTTCAATATGCCAAACGATAAGGCTGTGAGTTCCTTTCTGCACTTGATAATTACATGGAAATTAATTTGAGTCATGTAGTTATTTTACACACAGGGATGGAAGTAATGCCACATGCCTTGAATTTTCCATGGCTTCTTTAATTTGCAACTCAAAACCTTCAAGAAACCGTCCATACTTTGTATTTTTGCGGAGAAAAAACGTCCATACTTGTTGATGAAGAACTTTTCAATTAGACGGTTTAGATTACTACAATCGTATGTGCGTGCGCCTTTTTTCGATTCGATCCACACGCCACTTTAACACGAGGATAGCAACTCATCCCTTTATCCATACATCAAATTCCATTGCTGAGAGCATCCATGTAAAATCGTGGTCACTGTTGATGATCATGTCACCAAGGACATATCAGCCATCAGCAAGCCATCTAAGCTCAGTGGCGTGTGATCCCAACTTTGAGGATAAATGGCACAACTCAAGCCTAGCTTTTGCTCCATCATGCTGATGTCCATTTTGGAATGCCAATCTTGGCAACTGAGGGCAAGGGTTGTTATCACCTTTGCCTCCACAAGAAGTGGAGGTTAATCCTCTTTGTACATAGCTTCTAGCCATGGGTTTTTCCATGGAATCAATCACAAGGAGGGATATATAGCTAGGAGTGATGTACTCTCACATTGTTCACATGCTTGTGTTTGTAATGGGCAGAGGCATTGTTATCGCTGTAGTGATTGCGATGTGTTTTCTACATAAAAATTGGATGACCACATCAGTGGGCTAAGGGGGATGGATGTAACAATGGATAGGAAAATTGCCTTATTGAATCAAAGGAAAGGAAGTCTTCGAAGCTATCGAATCTCGGGAAATTGGTCGTCCATATTAAATTTATGACATTCGTATTTCTACATAGTTTATAGATCTAGTTGATAAACATAGAGTGTTCATTGGGCTTTTCTATCCGACTTGTCAAACTTTTTTTTTCCAGATAGAAATTACTTTTCAAACTTTATTCCACTTAGGGTGAATATAAATATATGCTGATTAAATCATTCAAAATGTGCTGACATTTGATGATCATCACCACTATAACCCCCCACAAAAAAAAACTAGAAATGAGTTTATATTTGCAACAATCAGGGCAGTCGAATTAATTTCGTGTATCTAATAGTCTCCACAAATTAAAGGACTAAAATTCTTGAAGAAAAAAATATGTATGAAGCTCAACAATGAATTTTGTAGTGCAAATTAAGCAGGTCAATTAGGTGGTACTGTGATGGTTCACATGGGCAGGTTGATACTAACTCCCATCGCCCTAATAATCTTTCTGTTGTACATATTATTGTTACGAATTTCGTTCCATAATGGTTGGAAAAATGACACATGCTTCCATGGCCACGCTACTAATCCTTCTGCAATTAAACCAGCAGGGTACACATGGTGTGATAATCTCAATTAAAGCTAGTGGTTCGTACAGAACATGCTTGCATGTTGCTGCAGTAGCTAGCTAGTGAGAAGAAACGTGTGCTTATAAGGAACCTGATTGATATTTGATTATTTACTGTTGATTGAGATTTATTTATCCATGTGAAATAATAAAGGCATGCAGGTTCATTAGTCCGATGTATACAACTGTGATGTTTTGATTAGTGGAGGAACTACTGTAGCTAGCTAGCTATGAAAGGATTGATCGACAAAACAGAGAGTTGTAGTGACAAAGGATTTAATCAGAATCATATGTACACTACGAGATGTTAATACGGAGAAGACTGTAAAATTATCCATTCATCCATTTTCGCCACTGCCTGTCAATCTACAGCTTAAGTTTGCACAATTATCCCCATTAAAAAATGTTTATTTCATATGTCAATATTAATTCCAGCACCTGAAAATTGTGACTGAACCAGGAATAAGATGTTTTGTTCTCTTCCGTTAAACAGTTTCATTGAATATTCTTTATATTTTGTTTATCATCGACCAATCGTTGCCGATCGACTTCAGTTAAATAGTTCTCTCAAATCATTAAATGGCAATATTCCCTATATTTTCTTCGTTATTATCGACTAATATGTTTGAATAGCTCTATTGAAATGGTTAAATCCTCATATTCTCTATCATTTCCTTTATCATCAATCAATTGGTGCCGATCGACTTCAGTTAAATAGTCCTCTCAAAACATTAAATTGCAATACTCTCTATATTGTGTTCGTTATTATAGATCAATCAGTGCCGATTTTTATGACATCATCAATCAGTGCTAACTCATTATGACATCATCACCATTAATTGATCGGCAGAGCTCGATCCTTACCTTTGTCCTTAGAAAGAAAAGTATGGCGCCGCCCGTGGCGACACAAAGTTGAGTTGGACTACATCATGCTACATTAACACGTGCCACAGAAGATCCTGATGATGCCCTCTTTGAGCAAGAGAGACCCCTCTCTGCATCTATCTATCTATCTCACATACTCACACACTGATCACAAAGCAAAGCAAAAGCCTAGTCGTCTCATACTCTTCTTGTTCAGTTCTTCTCCTCCCAAATCTTTCTGCTATAAAAGGCATTCGGGTCTCTCTCTCCGAATCCCAGCTGCACCCTTGCATCTTCTCTCTCTCTCTCTTCTTCTTCTTCTTCTTCTCCATATCTCCTACTCCTCGTGAAGATCGATCGACCATCGGCAATTTCATTCGGTAATAGTTAAGCTAAGATCAAATCAAGATTGGCGAAACGATGGAGATGGTGCTGCAGAGGACGAGCCACCACCCGGTGCCCGGGGAGCAGCAGGAGGCGGCGGCGGAGCTGTCGTCGGCTGAGCTCCGGCGAGGGCCGTGGACCGTCGATGAGGACCTCACCCTCATCAATTACATCTCTGATCACGGCGAGGGCCGCTGGAACGCACTCGCACGCGCCGCCGGTAAGCTTCTATACCTCTTATACTGCCAGTAAATTGTACCGTAAAAGTTGTCTTTGTCGAAAACACTAGCTACTTAGCTGTTTAATTAACTTCGATTAACTCAAATTATCAAAATTTCTCAATCCGCAACTCCGCAAGGTATAGCTAAGATATATACACGTAAATTTAATTACGCTTTAATTACCAGCAGAGAAAAAAAGAAAGCTAGGTATGCATGAGCAGTGGGATTAATAATTAATTGGGTTGGGAGAATTAAGCAGCAAACTTAACCAACAACCTGTTTATAGAGTAGGTTAGCCAGGACAGAATTTTCCTTTCCAGTGCAGCTTAGCCGGCGACGTCAGTCACGAGTCCAATCATTTCCTCCACTACCTGTCTTCAAAACTATGTGCGCCTCCGACCACATAATTAATCACTATAGCCATGCACAGTTATCACAAATTAACCAATCTCTCACACAACTGTTGATTAATTGTAACCTAGCCATCACGCCATGTGTCTCACAACATGTACTACTACTCCAACTAATGAGTCAATCAATTAATCAACTGTGAGATGGATGCTGATTAATAGTGGAGAGAGAGAGATTATTGATGAAATTTTAATTGTGCATATATAGGTCTGAAGAGGACTGGGAAGAGCTGCCGGCTCCGGTGGCTGAACTATCTCCGGCCGGATGTGAAGCGCGGCAACTTCACCGCAGAGGAGCAGCTGCTCATCCTCGACCTCCACTCCCGATGGGGCAACCGGTAATAATCAATTAATTAATTAGCTCACTCGTCATTAATTAATCTTATAGAATCTAGTATTCATGCATAGATCAGAAATGTTCTCAGCTACTTCCTCTGTATTTTTAATATATGACGGCATTAATTCTTATTATAACCTTTGATCATTCATCTTATTAAAAAAATTATACAAATCTTAAAAATATAAGTAATAGTTAAAGTTCATTACCGATAAATCAAGCCACACGGCCACAACAAAAGAAAATATATTTGCTTAAATTTTTACTGATAAATCAAACATAATGTAAAAAGTGAACAACATAATATATTAGAAGACGGAGGCACTATCGTTCTAATCTAATTGGCTGACTTCAGTGAAGCTTTCATTAACTTATAGTAGTCATTAACTAATTAAATCCCTTCTTAAGACCTGCTAATTAACCACCATGCTCACCATCCAGCAAACCTCGAGGCGACACGTGTCCTACACTGTAGAGAAGAATGAAGACTAGCTTAGCTTAGCTTAGATTAATTAGCTGGGAGCTTAATTTGACGCCTCGTGATGCAGATTAGACTCGTGTAGACGCCGCTAGCAAGCTAAGCTAAAAGTAAAGGAAGGACATGTCACGGTCGTACAGACTTGTGACGTGGACGTGACGTGGACTTGGCCGCTCTCAACACATGTCAACTCGTCCCTGCCATGTACAAACGCACGTACGTGACGTGACACACTAATTCACACACTTTCAGAATTTTAATCAGCCAACAATGGCCGGCTAATTTTATTCCCCTGTGCACAAAGAAACGCATGCATCGCTGACACTGAAAGATGTACCACCAGTTTGGAATTTGCACGCCTCCTCTCTTCTCATTTCTACACTTGTATGTTTGTGTCCACCCATCCATCTTAATTCCTTTTTTTTGCTCTTAGCATATTTGCACTTTGGTTCACACCTTGGTAACATAATTAGATGTGTGGGTTTCTCATTTGGTCAATTATTATTGAAACTACAGATGGTCCAAGATAGCACAACATTTGCCTGGGAGGACCGACAACGAGATCAAGAACTACTGGAGGACCAGAGTGCAAAAGCATGCCAAGCAACTCAATTGTGATGTCAACAGCAAGAGGTTCAAGGATGCCATGAAGTACCTATGGATGCCTCGCCTTGCCGAGCGCATCCATGCCAGGGCTGGCGCTGTTGATGATAGCGGAGACTACAGCAACAACGACTTATCATGTGTATCTGGTGTAACAATGGCCACTGTTGCTAATTGTTTTGATGGCTCTCCGAGCATGGTGACTAGCTCATCTTCCGATTCGTTCACGTCGGAGTCACAAGATTTGAAGAAGATTAACTTACATGTGCATGGTGATGATGAGAAGATGAACTCTGAAGACTGGATGCAGGAGGTGGACCATGAGTTTTGGTCTACAGAGATTCAGCCTAATAATGAACAGTTTCAGGACCAACAGCTTAACGGTTGGGTGCAAGGTTTTTCTGAGGGTTTGTCCGAAACTCTATGGAGTCTAGAGGACATATGGAAGATGCAATAAATTTTACATTTACAAAGGACATATTTGTAAAATAGAATAGAGAGACATCAAGGAAGGCAAAGAGAAAAAGTTCTTTAGTCATATACTGTACGTTGAGACACTTAAGTTCTTTGCCAACTTCAATGTTTTTTTTCTTTTATTTTTGCTGCCTCTTTCGATCCCTGAAGGGGTTTTTGCCTTCTAGATGTCTAGGGGTTCAAAGAGGACCAGAGGAGATATATATGTGTTTGGATATGTTGATATATGAGCTGATATATGCCTTACTATATATATACTCCAGAATTGCACTGAGGATTACATATCCAATTCAGACATGCAAACCTTACCAGTTGCAATATTGTAAATTACATGTCCAATTTTGTAGTTTCATCTTCCTCATCATAAAAAAATTATGTTGTGTCATGTGCATCTACTTTGTTTTCCCCATGTCAACTAGATTATTTCTCCAACACATGTGGAACAGTGTGGAAAATACATCCTCATCAACAGTAATAAGCACAGTGCTAACAAATTAAGAAAAAAGTCTTTTCATGTGTTCTCCAAAACCCTAATCACACTTGAGAAAAGAGAGCTGCAACAAGAATTGATAGATTGTACGATCCATCGCCGTCAACAAATGTGGAACGAATAAAAAATTTGCTTTGGGAGCTCATCACAGCTAAAGTCTCCAGAACAAAAACCGTACATGACATTATTGCAGCACTTGATCATATCAAACGTATGGACCAGAAAGGCTGCAGGCACATGTATGTCATGTGTAAGCTTTTTCAAACTGAGTACTGTATCTAATTAACAGCAGAAACTGAAAGGAAATCCTATGAATTCCTCAAAGATAATATCAATTTTTTAAACGAAAGTCAGCTTTATATAGACTATACAGGGGTTAGGAAGAAAGTCTATATTCAGTACCTCGACTATTCATATAGTTTGATTTCCATTGCTCAACAATATTGGATAAAACTCACTTGTCCATTATTAAAACTATGAAAATGATAACTTGGCTAGGCTTATACGTGGCTTTATGTTAATATATATGCTTCTGGGTGGCGAACCAAAAGAAGAAGACCCATTAGGTTATCCATGTAGTACTATGATTCTAGTCTTCTAGGCATATTCTCCCCGCCTCAATTTTTTTCTGTTTAAAAGGAAAGAGGACTTGAGATGCAGAGAATGTAGCAGATGAGATTGCTAAGAAAATGATGATGAGGCAAGCCACCTTACCCAAAACTTTTTACAAAAAAGGGGGATGTCGAAGAGATGAAAACCCAAGTTCTCTCCTACAGCTGCTCGTGGCACCAAAAGCCTCAGGGATCGTGTTGCGTGACGCTAAACAGGACTAGCTGTGAGCGAGGCCAAGGACCTAACCCTCAATTTAGGCGAACCACGCCGTGTACTCGGGACACTAGCTCGAAGCAGGCCTTGAGCACGCTATATTAATATGGTAGGACGTGGCACGTCTCTCCCTCGTGTCGCACACCTGATCTTGCATTTAATGCGAAGGATGCAAATCCGATGGCCACGCGCATGGAGAGGAGTGGATGACAAGACGACGCATGCTGACCGTGGAACAAGCATCATCACCCCTAAAAAGTTGGGAGCGTGGGTTGTCAGCTGACATAGGTCCTTAACCCGGTGTACTCGTTGTTAGAGGCCGACGAGTGGGCCAGGCTAGCGCCACCCTTGGTTTCGTCACCAACTCCTAGGCCACGCATCGAGACCAGGTGCAATGGGCTAGCTTGTAGTTGGCCACCCATCATCGAGCGATGGGACTAGCCTTTCCTAACTCATGTGTACATGAAGCCCACTTGTAAGCGACTGCCCAATGTGGTGCCCCTCGGGCTATAAGGGGATTCACACCTTGAAAACCCATTAAGGATAGAAACCCTCGCGAGCTTTAGAGAAAGAAACAATGCACTTTATGCATATTGCAGTAAATAATCCAGTTAAGAACTTAATAGGAGTAGGCTTCACTGCTCCCTGCTATTGGAGCTCGGGCTTTGACTAGGGAACATTAATTATCTAAGAATTTTTTTTTTCAGAAGATCAGTGCATTTATTGAGAAGAAGACAACCATTTTATATAAAGCACAATATTTTATTTTGAGACAATATTCCTTTGACTAAGAATATCTATAAAAATAAGATGTTTTAAATGAAAATAGTCATATATTATGATAGTTGTTTAATAATAAATCTAGTAACATCAATTTTATATGATTGATTTTTTTTATTTTTATACTATTTCTTGTCAAAGTTAAAAATATTTGACTTGACAATATTATAAAAATACTTATATTTTGAGCTGAATAGAATATTTGGCTAACGGGGATATGACCATCATTCGCAAGCAGCTTACGATATAAAATGGAGAGAGCATATATATATATATATATATTTGGTAGTGATCATTATTCTCATTTGGAAAGTAGTGTGTGAATATTTAATACTAGCCTCCAAGTTGGTGCAGTGACAGCTAGCTAGCAAATGGTGTGAAATAAACCCACGGCTGCAGTTCATGCACCGGCGGCCGCCGCCGCCGGCGTGCGAGAGATCGAGCCAGGCGGTGGGCCCCACCGTCTCGTTGTTAAGTAGCTATCTCGCACGTGCCCGAAATTCGATCCAAAGCCGATCGAGAAGTTGATCAAGCAAGCGAAGCTGGCGATTGACCGATCGGATCGAGTCGTCGTGGTCCTCTGGTCGGCGACACGTCAGCTAGCCACGTCACCGGTAGTCACGCGCCTATCACGGGGGATGTGGGCCCCACCCGCTCTGCCGTCCACGTCAGCTTCAGCTACCGTCACCGGCCGTTAGATAACTGTCCGCCGTCTGTTAATGCGTGATTAGCTGCGTTATAGGTTAGTGTACACTACACCAACAGTGTGCGTTGTTCCATCTGAACGGTTGCTACGGCCGGCTACTTGGATTTTGGATAGTGCTATTGCTATAAGCCTACAATATATAGTATCAAATAGTATATAACACGATGCATGATATATGCATTTAAATCTCACCAAATAATGCTATAATAGTATCGAATTAATATATATATGTGTACATATAGTAGTTGCAGAAACAACAAATTTCTATATAATAGCATCTCCATCCGATAATGACCGCATTCAGTTGTTCACAACAGTGATAATAAAACTAATGATTACTCTGGGGACTAGCTAGTCGGAGTCGACGTTGTGCACGCACGCACGTTTAGTTAATTAATCGGTCATTACGTCACAAGCCAACAATAGAACTTACTACTCCGTAAATATGAAAAATTGTAATACTTCCCTTTTCATAAATATAAAAAATTTTGGACTTCTCTATTCACCCTAAAATGTAAGGAAATTTTGAGTGCTACATTTTTCTAATCTATCTTGGTTGTTGCATCGCTAAACTTAGATAATTTTCAATCAAGCGAGCTCTTAAACATCAAAGTAGTTTTTCCGCAACATTAAACTTTGGCAAGCAATCCGGAATCAAATGTGTTAATTACTTGTGAACATAGAGAGCAATATTACTACATCCGTCTTAAAATATACTCCCTCCGTTTCTAAATATTTGATGCCATTGATTTTTTTTAAATATGTTTGACCGTTCGTCTTATTAAAAATAAATAAATAATTATTAATTTTTTCCTATCATTTGATTCATTGTTAATTATACTTTAATGTATACATATAGTTTTACATATTTAAAAAAATTGAATAAGACGAACGGTTAAATATGTGCTAAACAGTCAACGATGTTAAATACTACTCCCTCCGTATTTTAATATATGATACCGTTGACTTTTTGATAAACGTTTGACCTTTCGTCTTATTCAAAAAATTTATGTAAATATAATTTATTTTATTGTAACTTGATTTATCAACAAATGTTCTTACATAAGTATTTTTATATTTGCATAAAAATTTTAAATAAGACGAGTGGTCAAACGTTGGTTAAAAAGTCAACGGCGTTATACATTAAAATTAAAATACGGAGGGAGAGGAAGTATAATAATTTTAGATATGCACGTGCAGGTATATAGATTTTAGTACGAGAGGAATTTATTATGGATGATGATGAAAAAGAGGGGAAAAGTAGCATGGTATTACGTGGCGGTCGGCGAGCGGCGACGTTGGGCCAGGGCCAGGGCGGCGATCGACTGACTGACTGGTCGATACTCATGGTTGTGTCGTGGTCGTAACTTGCGTACAAAAGTCTGACCGTTTACCTAAGCAGCTGGCACTGATGGCGCCACACTGCTACACTGTTATTTTTCTTTCTTTCTTTCTTTCTTTCTTTCTTTCTTTCCCACAGTTTATTAGGAGGAGCTGCGTACCACTGGCACTGCACTATGCATATATACTTTACTAGGATATATGTACTGCTCACTCTTCCGTCTCTTAATATATATGTATTTTTTATGACTTAAGATTTATACCATAATTAACTAAAAGAATATCGGTGCGTCACAACATGTAAAGACATTTTTTTCAATGGTACAATAACTGTTAGGAGCTAAGAAAAAAATTGAAACATTACGATCACTACACACTATAATTGAAAAAACTTAATTATAAGCATTGCTTGGTTTTGGGCCGAAAGTCTGTTCATTCATTTCTTTTTAACTAGGTGATACCCCGCGCATTGCTGCGGGAATTTTAAAAAAATGGTTACAGAAAGAATAATAGTGGTACAGTTATAGTATATCACCTCTAAAGCAAATAATAATACTGAAAGCTTGACCTATCAAGCTTAGTGATCAAACGATAACATTACGATGAAGTATCAGAAAAATATTTAGGCAGTACATGCAAATCTTGTCATGCATCACTTTTACCTAACTCAACAGATGCTAATCTACATACATATCATATGGAACTATTGACTTACTTTTCCTGTAGAATAGTACATATATGTTCAACGAAAATCATGTTAAACTCTTACGATGATTGCATTGATATCAAAAGGAAAGACTGGTTAATGAAAAATGACAAATGGTCTGTGCCAAGACTGCTAAAGTAAACAAAATTGTCTGTCAAGCAACCTGTAAGTGACAAACACGATGAGAAAATTATATAGTGCATTTAGAAATTTTACTATTGCTCACACATAATTTCATTAATATATCTCGGAACAGATTTGTTCAACCTCAAAGAGTGCTTGTTGTGAATACGGTTGATATACCTATTGTAACGGAGAGGCTTTACTGCTAGTAAAATTTCCTCGTAAAAGAATGAGTAACTTATTGAATAATTAAAGAAGACTAAACTACTTTTTTTAGAGAGGAGGCCATACGGCCCGGATTTTTTTGAAAGCCACACACGGCAGAGCAGAAGACTAAACTATTCTAGAAAATAAATTAGTGAATTGAACATTGAACACCAAACCGACCGTTTCTTGTAATGTGTGCGAAGAAACAGAAAGGTAAGGGAGTGATTTTACCATAGTTTGCAATAGATCTTATACTGCTAAAAAATACAATGTCAATTCAAAGAGGGAAAAAGACCAATATATTTGCTATCTTCAGTGGCGAGAAAAAAAATCAAGTATAGACATTAGAGCACACACATAAGGCGATAGAAAAACCAAGCTCCTGTATTCTTTAAAAAAAACACAAAATAAATTCAGTTGATATTGTAGTAGTATATAAGATAAAGGAAGGAGTTACCTGGGACAACGATTGGATCAACGATGACATGGCAAATCAATGAAAATAACAGTGGCGAGGTGATCCAGAAATCAGGAAAGCACAACACATCTGTATGTTAAGAACTGCAACTGATGAATTGCATTAGCGGATAATCATGCCGATGAAATCATGAAATCCATTGACAATATGAAATCTCGCTTTTCATAGATATGCCAATGGTGTGAACTGTGTGAACAAAAATATAAATGGGCATATGGCCACAATAGCTGAATCAACAGGATTGAAGACTCAGGCAAAAAAAACTACTCAAATAAATCGACAATATTCAAAAAGAGATGATGGAGGTCGCAGGCTCGTAGCCGAACAGGTGCAAAGAAGGCGAGATGCTGCACGACACACTGGCGGAAGGGGATCAGGTGCACTCGTATTAACAAAGAGAAAGAAACGGCTGAGCCCCTGCTGGAGGAAGATGATCCGTCGGCGGCGCTGCTTCATATTCTCATGAGTCAGTGTCTGTTGGGGTTCAGGGGCAGCGGTCGCCTGATTTTGACAGTTTCTAATGTAAATGCTTGTGATTAAGTGAGGCGAATGAGAAGTGATTACCATCTCTGCTGGTGGTTGAGGATGAGGGAGGGGCCATTTGATTTCACCATGGATGGCGTCAGGGCTCCCGACGTTTCTCCCCATCGGCGCATCGCTACATGGATCGCTCCAGTCGTTTCTCCCGCGACTGAGGCGAACGAATGCCGCACCACTCTCCCCATTGGCGCATCGCTGCATGGATCGCTCCCGATGTTTCTCCCGCGACCCAGGCGAACGGATGCCGCACCACACCTCGCCGTGCACTGTCCCTACCAACTCCTGCGCGCGACCGTGCGCGCCGCACCAGGCGGTTCGCCGCACTACGCCGTCGCCGCTCCGATTCAGGAAGTCGGGCTCGGGAGGATGAGAGAGACACATCGAACCCTAAATCACTCATTGGGCCGCGGGCTGCGATACACTGATATGGGTCTCCTTCGCTGCCTCACGCCTGTGAAGTCCCTCGCTTCCTCACGTCTGCGAAGTCAGCCTTTTCATGAAAACGACTGAGATGCGATGTAATCATCCGATCCAACGGCTGCCAATTAATGATGACGTGGAACACTGAGGTTTGAGATTTAGGAGATTAATTGCACTTAGTGGGGGATAACTTTATAGGAAGAAGGGATTAGTCCCAGAACACATGCCTCTTATCTCCATTCGCTCGTCCTGCCTCCCTTCGGCCCAATCGACAAGTGAATTCGTAGGCCTAGCTAGCACATGCTCCCTTCTCTCGTTGCCAGGCCAGAACCACGCGCTACATTAGCGTCTTCAATCTCCAAAGGATAGTCCTGTGCTCCTATCCTCCCCATCAAATATAATCGAATCTTCCTCATATCTCGAAATTGGTTGAGGGTTCTCCTCTTTCAGTCCCCCCAAACCGGAGTGAATCTGCATTCAATTTCGCAAAACTCTAGGATAAAAAGGATCAGGTAAGCTATTGGTTGGTCATTGTTGGCGACCGTTAAATAGAGATTAAGGCTGACGAATTAAAGCCAAATTAAAAGGAAAAATCATGAGGAAAATGATGAGGGAGGAGTGGGGAATCGATTTTTAAAAGCACATAGAGGGCAGACCGACGTGACGACGGCGCTAGTGTTCCACCAGGAGAGAAGAGCGGGGCATCATTTGAAGGCACGCACTGCGAAGCAGGCCGAGACGAGTGATGGCTAGGCCGAGCTCTAACGAACTGACTGAGAGACGACGACGGACAGAAAAAAGAGCTACAGAAGCCTTACATATTTTTAATTAGGTATGGATATAAATATAAACATTTTTAGGCGTGTAATGATTCTAATGCATAGAAATATAAGCATTTTTCAACAATCAGAAGCTCATAAAGATAAGAAATTCAAAATTCTGAATTTCTACCAGTTACGCGATTGGAAGAAATATTTTTATTCATCTTTAATCTTTGTTCAACAATCTAGAAATACTTATTTTAGAACGACAGGGGGAGTCGTTTTTGTTCTGTGTATGATATTTATGCTTTTCTACACGTTCCTGAAAGGATGGACCATAGTTCCAGCGACTTAAATTCATTCGGCCCATCAAACTGCGACCCAAATACGGCCTACTAAACTCTGCACAAAAGGCCTTAGAATCGAGCCCAGATAATTAATTAAGCCTATCACCGAAGCAAATTAGAATTTTATTAATTTATTTTTTAAAAAAAGATTTACACTCCTCCCAGACAATCTTTTAAAAAATAAATATAAATAAATTTCAGCAAATTAAGGTCGAGAGATCACCTCTCACTAGTTAGCAAGTCCTACCTATGCGGCCATCCAAGCACAAGCTTCTTCCATCCAATCAAAAACAAAAACAAGATGGATGGTCATCTTCCTTCCATGCATGGGAGCATCCAAATTAATCTACCAAGAACACCCTATAATATATATGCATCGCCATGATCGAAGCGAGGAAGAAGAAGAAGAAGAAGCTGCAGTTGCAGCAGCAGCAGCAGCAACTAGTAACTAATAAAGTGATGACGATGGATCGTCCCAACGTCGCCGTGGCCGCGGTGGGGCTGCTAGTGGCGGCGGTGGCGGCGACGCTGCCGGCGCCGTCGTGGGGGCAGCAGCAGCCAGCCAACAAGCTCATCACCAGCACCTCCGGCTCCGGCAAAGGGTTGTCCAAGTGGCTGGCGATGAACCAGGAGGAGTACGTGGAGAAGAAGGCGCTGCACACCATGGCCACCGCGGAGGAGCTCGGCGGGAAGAAGCTGGACGCGAACCTGACGGCGGCGGAGGAGGCCAAGGTGACGTGGGTGATCGACCCCAAGGGGACGCCGGGCGACACCACCTTCACCACCATCACGGCGGCGCTGGAGAAGGTCCCCGAGGGGAACAAGAAGCGCGTCATCCTCGACCTCAAGCCCGGCGCCGAGTTCCGGGAGAAGATCTTCCTCAACCTCAGCAAGCCCTTCATCACCTTCAAGTCCGACCCCAAGAACCCGGCGGTGATCGCCTGGAGCGACACGGCGGCGACCAGGGGCAAGGACGGCAAGCCCGTCGGCACCGTGGGGAGCACCACCGTCGCCATCGAGTCCGACTACTTCGTGGCGCATGGCGTCGTGTTCAAGAACGACGCGCCGATGGCCAAGCCCGGCGCCGAGGGCGGCCAGGCGGTGGCGCTCCGCCTCTTCGGCACCAAGGCGGCCATCTACAACTGCACCATCGACGGCGGCCAGGACACGCTGTACGACCACAAGGGCCTCCACTACATCAAGGATTGCCTCATCATGGGCAGCGTCGACTTCATCTTCGGGTTCGGGAGATCGTACTACGAGGGCTGCACCATCGTCTCCGTCACCAAGGAGGTGTCCGTGCTGACGGCGCAGCAGAGGAGCAAGACCATCGAGGGCGCCCTCGAGAGCGGCTTCTCCTTCAAGAACTGCAGCATCAAGGGAGAAGGGCAGATCTACCTGGGGCGAGCATGGGGGGAATCGTCGCGGGTGGTGTACGCCTACACCGACATGTCCAAGGAGGTGGTGCCCGTGGGTTGGGACGGCTGGAACATCGCCAAGCCGGAGAGCAGCGGGATCTACTACGGCGAGTTCAAGTGCACCGGCCCCGGCTCCGACGCCAAGAAGAGGGTGGGTTGGGCGCTCGACCTCACCGAGGAGCAGGCCAAGCCCTTCATCGGCACGCACTACATCTACGGCGACTCCTGGCTCATCCCACCAGAGTAATTAATTACTACTTTTGTTTTTACATCGATTAATTAATTAACACTCTCTCTTTTTCATATTATGAATCGCTTTGATTTCTTTTGCATTTTTTTCAAGTTTAACCAAATTTTATTGGAAAACATATCAACACAATTTTTTAAGAAAAGAACAAACATATTATAAAAATATATTCAACTTTACATTTAGTTAAACTATTTTTTAAAAATGCTGCTAAATTTTTTGAAAAAAAATTGATCAAATATAAATAAGTTTGACAAAAAAAATCAAAACAAAGTTACATTTTATATGAAATGGAAGGTGTAATCAATTAATTATGCTAGTACAAATTAATATATTCTAATTGTTGGTGTAACATCAAATAGCGGGACATCAACGTCATCTAGCTCAGCTTCAACGTCGAGCAACTCAACCGCGGAAGCACCGACGGCGAGTAGTAACTCAACTGCATCGGCTAATAAAAAGGAAAGCAATTCAACTGCAGAAGCGCCGACGGCGACTAGCTACTCAACTGCGTCAGCGACGACGAGTAATTCCACTGCGTCAGCGAAGGCGACTAATTACTCGAGTTCAAGTCCACCGGCAAAAGGCAAGTAGTTAATACAAGTGCAGCGGCGACGACGGCGCCGACGCGATGAATCGCGTTCATTGGGGCCAACCAATTCTGTTTTGGAAGCCCGTTTAATTGTTCATTCTTTGTGTCAATTTGGGCCGGATTAATCAATCGGCCGGCTACTTAGATGTTTCACGTACGTGTAACAGTTGTATTTTCTTCCCATTTCGTTTGGGTCTTTTATCAGTGTACGCATCTTCAAAACTATAGTGAATTTTACACATGTTTTCCTTTTGAAAATGACTCTTGAAGACTTGTGCTCTATACTTATGTTGCAATTAACTTTCGGGAACGAAAACGATCAACAGAATAGGCATCTTACCGTGATTAAAACGGGGGTAACAAGTACATCCCACTTGTTCCATGGCTAATAAGTCGTGCAAAGGTAAGGAGCTTATTAACTGGTTAGATTTCTTGTGATGGAACCAATCCACCCGAGTTCAATGTCAATACAAGTACCGAAAAGAACGTGTTTGCCTATTGCAATATCGTGTACGTGGGGATAAGATTGCTCACTAGGTAGGCACACAGTTATTCTTTGCACCTCTGTCTCATTAAGTTTCTCTAGATTTCAGCATTCAAACTGTGATTTAAACTTTTAAGCACATTTGCTAGAAGCAACATTGAAGCCTTGATGGTGTGGTACGTACATTTGTTTGCAGAAGACGATAATTTCTTATTTGGGGGGGTGTTTGGACGATCCAGGGGCTAAACTTTAATCCCTGTCATATCGGATGAATTTGGAATATTAAACAAAGACTACTTATAAAACTAATTACATAAATAAGAGCTAATTCACGTGATAAATTTTTTTAAGCCTAATTAATCCATAATTAGCGTATGTTTACTGTAGCATCACGTAGGCTAATCATGGATTAATTAGTCTCAATAGATTCGTCTCGCGAATTAGTCCAGGGTTATAGAATGGGTTTTATCAATAATCTACGTTTAATATTTATAATTAGTGTCCAAACATCCAATGTGATAAGGATTAAAAAGTTTTAGTTCTATCCAAACAGGGCCTAGGCTAGCAACAGCGCCTGCGCATAAGTTGAGAACATGCTAGAAGAAGCTCGGTTCCAGTTTGCAATGGGCAAAAGAAAAAAAATATTATAATATATCATAACAAAATATTTTTTATCAAATATGTACTTAATTGTTTGCTTATTTTAAGATCTGTTACCACTTGTTTAAATAAAATGTTGGACTATTAATTCCATAATATTCGAAAATAAAAAGAAGACAAATTATAAAAACTGCAAGAGCAATAGTGGGTGGCATATTCCCCACCAAAGGCTTTTAAAGTAGTTAGATTGTTTTCCTTTCATTCAGTTACTGTATTAATTGTGTGTATATACTCCAATGTACGATAGTATAATTTAGTGATCAGTAGTACACTACAAGTACATAGTTTTTTTTTCTGAGGATTTTATGTTCATAATATATAGTACTTTCTGTGTATGATATTTATGCATTTTGACACGTTCCAGAAAAGGCTGGATCATAATAGCTAATTTTAGCCCCACAAATACACTCTTACTTGCTCCATATTTCAGAATTTAAGATGTTTTGGTTTTGTCAGAAATCAAATTTATTCAAGTTTGATCAGGTTTATAAAATAATGTATTCCATATTCATTTCTCGTTGGCATGTTCGAAATTACTTCAATGAGATGTTTTCTTTGTCTACCTTTTATCAATGCAGTAATATTATTCTCACCAGAAAAATATAATGTTTGCTTTAAGAAAAGTTATTAGGATGTAATAATTAGTGTAGCAATATAATTTGCCGCATATTCTATTTTAGTGCATGTGAGATTTGTTACAGCAACAAAGTAGATTGAAATGGGAAACGGATCGAGTAGTAACATATAGAACGCCAAATTAATTTTATTAAATCTAGCTACCATGAAATGTATTTTTATAATAGGTTTTCTTTTTTACAAATATTGCTATGTTTTTTATTAAATTAACTTGGTTAAACATCTTACATTAGGGAATATAGAGTACCAGCGACCAAAATTGGGCGCATCAAATGAACTGCGACCCAAAATGCAACCTCTAAATCCTGCACAAAAGGCCTTAAAATCGAGCCAAGATATCATCGAAGCAAATTAAGGTCGAGAGATCGCCGGTCACCAAATTAGCAAGAAGTGCTTGCTACCTATCCGGCCATCCAAGCACGAACATTTTCCCCAAAAATGGATGGCCAGCCATGTCCCTTCCATCCATGGAAGTTCCAAATTAATCCGCCAAGATCGATCACCCTATATACGCATCGCGCCATGATGGGCAGGGACAGAACGAATTAGCTGCATACTGCAGCAACTAATAAACGATGGATCGTCCCAACCTCGCCGTGGCCGTGGTGGGGCTACTGGCGGTGGTGGCGGCGACGCTGCCGGCGCCGTCATGGCAGTTCTTCGACCTATTCCTCCCCGCCGGCCCCAGCCACCGCTCCTCCGGCGGAGGGTTTGGCAAGTGGGTGCTGATGAACCACGAGGAGTACGTCGAGAAGAAGTCGCTGTACGCCATGAAGGCCGCCGGCGACATCGGCGGGAAGACCATCGACGCGAGCCTCTCGGCGGCGGAGGAGGCCAAGGTGACGTGGGTGGTTGACCCCAAGGGGACGCCGGGCGACACCACCTTCACCACCATCGCGGCGGCGCTCGAGAAGGTCCCCGAGGGGAACACCAAGCGCGTCATCCTCGACCTCAAGCCCGGCGCCGAGTTCCGGGAGAAGCTCCTCCTCAACATCACTAAGCCCTACATCACCTTCAAGTCCGACCCTGCCAACCCGGCGGTGATCGCCTGGAACGACATGGCTGCCACCAGGGGCAAGGACGGCAAGCCCGTCGGCACCGTCGGGAGCACCACCGTCGCCGTCGAGTCCGACTACTTCATGGCCTACGGCGTCGTCTTCAAGAACGACGCGCCGCTGGCCAAGCCGGGTGCCGAGGGTGGCCAGGCGGTGGCGCTCCGCCTGTTCGGCACCAAGGCAGCCATCTACAACTGCACCATCGACGGCGGGCAGGACACCCTATACGATCACAAGGGACTCCACTACATCAAGGATAGCCTCATCATGGGCAGCGTCGACTTCATCTTTGGATTCGGGAGATCACTCTACGAGGGCTGCACCATCGTCTCCGTCACCAAGGAGGTGTCCGTGCTGACGGCGCAGCAGAGGACCAAGACCATCGAGGGCGCCATAGAAAGTGGCTTCTCCTTCAAGAACTGCAGCATCAAAGGACAAGGGCAGATCTACCTCGGCCGGGCATGGGGGGATTCGTCGCGGGTGGTGTACTCCTACACGGACATGTCCAAGGAGGTGGTGCCGATAGGGTGGGATGGCTGGAACATCGCCAAGCCGGAGAGCAGCGGGATCTACTACGGCGAGTTCAAGTGCACCGGCCCCGGCTCCGACGCCAAGAAGAGGGTGGGTTGGGCGCTTGACCTCACCGCGGATCAGGCCAAGCCCTTCATCGGCACGCACTACATCTATGGCGACTCATGGATCCTCCCGCCACCAGAGTAATTACTCCTCTCTCCATTTCAAAACATAGGGCGTATTTTGTGTTGTTAGGAGATAAGGGTTTAACCAATGATTGCTTCTCCAATATATTATATTTGTGCCGCAAAAGTATAATACTTTTGAAGACGAATCTAAATAATATTTCTTATGCTTCACAAAAGTTATATTATAAAAGAGTAATGGTCTATAGAAAACAGAGTAGTGGTTGGTTAAAATCTTGTTCTAACAAAGTAAAATAAACCCTATAACGTGAAACATAGGGAGTACTATTTTTACATTAACTTTCTTTGGTATTTCGATTTTGGGGTAACATCGAATAGCGGGAAATCAGCGGCATCTACCTCGACGGCGAGTAAATCAACCGCATCGGCGATACCCAGGAACTCAACTGCACCGGCGACGGCAACGGAAAGTAACTCAACTGCACCGGCGACACCCAGCAACTCAACTGCACCGGTGACGGCAAGTAATTCAACTGCACCGGCGACGGCGAGTAGTTCAAACCCACCTGCCACGAAGAGTTACTCGGGTCCACCGGCGACGCCAAGTGCTTCAAGCACACCGGCAAAGGCGAGTAGATAAGTGCAGCGGCGGCGCGGTGAGTCACAACTTCATCTACGGCAATTGAAGGATCCTCCCGCCACCAAAGTGATTCAAATATTTCGGAGTAACTATTACCAATTTAATTGGGCCCAATCAATTCTGTTTTGGAGGCCCGTTTGTTCTTTGTGTTGTGTTAATTGGGCCGGATTGGTCGGCCGGCCACATAGATGTGTAACATTTGTATTTTTTTCCCAATTCATTTTTGGTCTTCTATCAGTGTACGCACCTTCAAAATGGTGAATTTTTACAGAAGTTTTTGAAGAAGACTTGTGCTCTGTATGCGTGGCAATTTACTTTAACGATCGACACGACGGCATCTAATTCTGACGAAAACGAGAGATAACCAATACATACACATAGTATTAGGCTATGTTCGGCACCCTGGGTTGGGAACCCATGTCCCACGCACAAAAAAGATAGCGATCCATTAGCGTGTATTTAATTAAGTATTAGCTTTTTTTTTCAAAAATAGATCAATATGATTTTTTTAAGCAACTTTCGTATTGAAACTTTTTATAAAAAAAATATACTATTTAGCAGTTTGAAAGACGTGTGCGCGAAAAACGAGAGGGGGAGTTGGGAACCTGGGGCAAAGAACAAAGCCTAGTAAAGCTAGCAGTTCGTACAAGAGTGTGGTAATTGTGAATTATCCAGGGTCTGCATAAAATCGAGTTTAATTCTTCGTGTGGTTCTGATAAGTTCCTTGCTGTACAGTGTATAATTTGGTTTTTAGAGAACGACAAATGGATAAACAGCGTGTTCTAGAACTGTACATAGAACAGTGACTCAAATTAAGGATGAGAAATGGGTGGATCAGGGACGACACATGCTATACATCTCTCCAAATTGTTATCCATTTCGTCTGTGTTCAGCATCAGTTGGCCTAATTAAAACTGATAATCAACAACTTTAAAAAATAACTTATGGCTTATATATATATAATCCTGAGCGATTTAATGCCAATACGAACCCCAAAAAATCAATTGAAAAACTAAAATAAAAGTTCCAATTTTAACAATGGCTTATATTTAAGCAATCGGTGCTTCTCTTGCTACACATTTATAGGAGTAGAGTATGGATTTTGCAGTGACAATTAAAGCCAAACACACAAAATTCACGATAAAATTAAGAAAACCACACAAAAAAAAAGTGAGCCATGCATAGCGAGAGCCAAGTGGCAATCCTCTAGTACACTCGCAGCTGTGGCCCCCGCAAAATCTGCCACGAGCCACCAAACCCCGCCACGTGTCGAGGTGGGCCCCACCAACGACCGGACTACTCCCGCCTCCTCATCCGGTTCCCGCCACTCCTATTTATTTCCCAAAAAAATAATAAAAACAAAATTCGACGAAGAAAAAAAAAATAAAATTCGGCGGTAAATAAGCGGGGCGAAGGAAGAAGAAAATCACGGAAATGCCACTACCGGCGTTCGTGGCGGCGGCGGCGAGGCTCGCCGTCCTCGTGGCCGCGGCGGCGACGGCGGCCAATGCCGCCTCCTACGCGCGGTACCGGCGGCGCCACCTCCGCCGCATCCCCAGCCCCATCGACGAGTCCGCCGATCCCCTCGCCGACTTCCGCGCCTTTCCCTCCTCCGACGCTGACGACTCAGGTTCGTCTCACTCACTTTCGTTTCCCTCTGTAAAGCCCTAGCCATGTAAGCGCTAATCGTTGAGGTCAATGGATTATTGCATTGGGGTTGGGAGATTATGTATTTGATTAGTCTTTGTGGATGCCCAGTTGGGAGGTTTTAGGTTTTATCAATTTTTGAGATGGGGAATTGTTGGCATAATCGATTTGAATTTAATCAATTAATCCTTATATTCAATTAGTTTTTTGATCAATTAGTCAATGTCAATACGAGAGTACTGAAAAGAACTTTGTTTGCCCATTGCAAATGTCCTGTTACATCATACATGGGGATAAGATTACTCACTATAGGCACAGTTATGCTTTGCACCTCTCTCTCATTAATTTTCTCTATAAATTCGAGCATTCAAACTGTGTTTTAACATTTAAGGCCATCACTGGCTGGAAGCAACAATTGTCAAGGCAATATGGAAGCCCTGATGGTGTGGCATATTTGTTTGCAGAGGAGGATAATTTCTTCTTTGGGCTAGCAACAGCGCCTGCGCATGTTGAGGACAGGCTAGAAGATGCTTGGCTCCAGTTTGCAACTGAAACTTCCTGCGATGACAATGGAAACGTGCGCGACCAGAGGCCAGTAGATGCACTGATGGCATCTGCTGCTGGTGATGGAGGCTCCCAGCAATCTTGGAGGTCAACAGGTGGGGAAAATATTGGTGATAGAGAGCAGAGGAAACCACTTAGGGTAGCCATGGAGGCTATGCTCAGGGGGTTTGAAATTCTTGCTGAGAGTGGAGAATCTGCTGGCGGCGATAACTGCAGCCACAATGTTGCTGCTTGGCATAATGTTCCATGCCCGTAAGTACATGAGTATAGAATCTCTAATGAGCTAATTTATCTCAGTTCTGTACTCCAAAGAACAAATCTCCTTGCCTGTAAAGTCACCTAGAGTCACTTCTCATCTTAACTATCTCTCCAGGAAGAGTTGTTGTCTTTCAATATTGTAGCTTCTTTCCAAGTCTAGATATGACTTCGATAGTGCTACTATGTAGTGGTGGGTCCCAAGGATAAAAAACGAATGCATGCTTTTAAAAAAAGTAATTCAAGATTCTAGCTTTCCTTCCAAATGTAGATGTCTTTGGATGTTGTATGTTAGCAAACTCTGATCATTTTTTTTTCAGGCAAGAAAGGCTTAGATTTTGGTCTGATCCTGATGCTGAGTTGAAACTTGCTAAGGAGACCGGCATCAGCGTTTTCCGCATGGGGGTAGATTGGGCAAGGTTAATGCCTGAGGAACCAACCGAAGAATTGAAGAGCTCAGTAAGTTCATAGTTATGCACGTGCCTCTTTTTACCTTTATATTCATCCTTCTTTTTCCAGCATGATGATCTCAGTACCGGTGAAATAAGATAGACATCTCTTTCTCTAGGTTAATTTTGCAGCACTTGAGCGGTATAGATGGATCATTCAAAGGGTTCGCGAATATGGAATGAAAGTAATGCTTACTCTGTTTCATCACTCACTTCCACCTTGGGCTGGAAAATATGGCGGGTGGAAGATGGAAAAAACTGTCACCTATTTCATGGATTTTGTGAGGTACCTTTTGAGGGCAGTCAAATTGACCTGCCAATACATTCTCTCCATTGGGAATTGTTCAATAATTTATTAGATTTTGATAGTTGGGGCTGTGCAGGCTTGTTGTTGATCGTGTATCCAATTTAGTGGACTACTGGGTGATTTTCAATGAACCTCACGTTTTTGTGATGCTAACTTATTGTGCCGGTGCTTGGCCTGGTGGAGACCCTAATGCAATTGAAGTAGCAACATCTACTCTGCCAACTGGTGTATACAATCAGGCTTTGCATTGGATGGCTATTGCACATTCTGAAGCCTATGACTACATACATTCGAAAAGGTTGGTTCTACATAATGTATTATTTGCAGTGCCCTTATTCCAGTGATTACCTGGTATTTTTTATTCGATAATCAAGGAGTTGGTTTCCTCTGGTTTTCTTATTATTTATTTCTTGATTAACAGCAAGAACGAAAGGAAGCCAATAGTTGGTGTTGCACACCATGTATCGTTTACAAGGCCATATGGGCTATTTGATGTTGCTGCTGTCGCGCTAGCTAACTCATTGACCCTTTTTCCTTACGTGGATAGCATATGTGATAAATTGGACTTCATTGGAATCAACTACTATGGACAGGTAAGCAAATTATTTGCTGCTTAATGAATGGCTATGTAAGTGACCGAGTTAATTCTCCCATTTCCATGCAGGAGGTTATATCAGGACCTGGTCTAAAGCTTGTGGATAATGATGAGTATAGTGAATCTGGTCGTGGGGTTTATCCTGATGGGCTGTTCCGCATCCTGATTCAATTCAATGAACGATATAAGAGATTAAATATACCTTTTGTCATTACTGAAAATGGAGTTTCTGATGAGACTGATCTGATACGGAAACCATATATACTGGAACACTTGTTAGCCACATACGCTGCCATCATTATGGTCCTTTCTTAACCTTTAAGCAAACATGTTTTAGTCTGTGCTCATGGAGATGGAACTTCCAACACTTAAACAACATAATGTTTTATAGGGTGTCCGTGTACTTGGTTATTTGTTTTGGACAACATCAGATAATTGGGAATGGGCGGATGGCTATGGTCCCAAGTTTGGGCTTGTTGCTGTTGACCGTGCTAATAACCTAGCACGGAAACCTCGGCCTTCATACTTTTTATTCTCCAGGGTAACTTTTTCGTTTTAGCAAATCATGAAACCATGGTACATTGTTTACCTATTATCTCAGTCTCTTACGTTGTCTAACTCCTAGGTGAATTTTTGTCTTCTGTTGAAATATTGAAAACTAACTAGATCTACTCCTTGTTTCTGAAGTTTAAAGTTCATTCATTTTCTTTTATCAGAGTAATTTTATGGCTAGATAAAGCACTAAACGTGTCTAGACCTGAGATTACCTCCAGCATTTTTTTTGCCACTTTTTACGTTCATGCATGTGGTGGCTATATAACTAGCATGATAAGATGCATCTGAACTCCAGGTTGTTACAACTGGAAAAATTACAAGACAGGACAGAATGTCTGCTTGGAGGGAGCTGCAACAAGCTGCAGTTCAAAAGAAAACACGTCCATTTTTCAGGGCAGTGGATAAGCATGGTCGGATGTATGCAGGTATGTATTGTTTCTTTTTGAATGATTCTGATGATCTGATCAGCAGGTAAATTGGCAGGATCAATAAGTAGTGGCTTGTTTTACTAAAAACAACTTGATTAGGATTAGCAACAGACATTGACTTCTTATGTCAATAGATACTACCATCAATGGAGCTCCTTAGAATTAAGATTAGTGTTGCTTCTCGTTTTGCTTCTTTTTATTAATAATTTCTGATTTAATGCCCATCTCTTCTGAGTTAAGGTATTTTTTGAACTACCACAAGGCCTTAGAAAACTATATACAAAAATATAAGTTCAATAAGATCCATGTTTTCCTGCTTGTCTAAGCATTGGTGTCTCCTTTTGTCTTACAGGTGGTCTAGATCGGCCTATTCAGAGGCCCTTCATATTGCGGGATTGGAGATTTGGTCACTATAAAATGGAAGGCTTGCAGGATCCTTTGAGTTGCTTTATAAGATGCATTTTTGCACCATTTTCACGCCAAAAGAAGATTCACTACATAGAAGATGATGTTATTTCTTATTCTATTAACTGATGCCCTGCTACTATAGTTGCTACTTTAAGTTCAGTTTCTTATGTTGCAACCAAAAACACATCCATGTTTTGGTGAGTCAAGAGCAACAATGCATTTTGCTTTTCGATTCTTTGTGCATGTTACCTATTTAGAACATCTAGTTTGGAATCTTTTGTAGGTTATTACTTTTTTCTTGATGAAGTAAATAAAAAGAGTCTTGGAAATGGAAAGTTCAACTTCTTCAGGTAATTACTACATGGGTTTACTATTTGTATAATAGTACACATTTAGATTCCATACACTTATTTTATTCTCATCTCCTTTTTTTGGTTTAAGATGTGTTTGATCTAATGTCATGTAGATTGTATTCTAAATATCTTCTAAGCCAAAATATCTTTTGTGGATCTACTTTTGCTGGCTCATAGCTATGTCCTGCACTTCTTAATTGAAGATGCTTCCTGGGAAGTGTTTGGGTGAACAGATGGGCACCTGCCTACCTTATTTAGATCTCTGACCCTCCAGGCTACATCCAGATCTGTGCGTGTAGACACGTTCAAGTAGTGAGTTAATGGTTCCTATTGTTTCCTCATATAGATTTTTTTACTTTTCTATTGTAAAAAAAAACACTTTTCACCCACTGTATATAGGAAATGAATAAATTCTTTTCATTTATAGTGTAAGATTCAGTCTTAATTCATGGAGCTGAGGCATAAGTAGTAGAAGGAAATGAATAAGATTTGCAAATTGCAGCAGAGGAATTCAAGGGTTTTGTTATCCCATAACTTGTGTACGTGAGTTTTCATATTAAACAGTGGTACTACATTTTTGACATGCAAAGCCTAGCTGCCTAAGCCATCAGATGCATTTGGAGGGATCATTGCAGATGTATCCTCCTGCATGACCTCATGGAATCATGCACGTTTCACATTTCCAAATTTCACACAGCCAGATTTTATTGGAAAAATTACTGGTTTGTTAACTGGCCTTCCAAACCTTTTTTTATGGGCATGGCATGCATTTTATTTACTAGGATGTGGCATGTATTCTTTAGTGGAACTAGCCACTAACTTCTTTATTCATGCTGCATTACAATCTAAAAAGAACTAAACTTTATATGCACACAGCCCTATATTCATAATCTGGAATGTGGTATTTTTTATCCACAACCCCGTAATCACTAACCACACCTCTCCTGTACAGTTTTTCTAATATATATAATTAACCATAGGGGCCTCCCTACTGTTCTTCATTCAAAGAAACTGTTGTCATGATGTCGGTCTTTTGACTAGGGATCTTAACTAGGGCGAATATCAAAAGACCATACATCTTTAGTACAATTGTCATGCAAATTTATTCTCATGTGGTGTCATTTATTTTCAGTGAAACAAAAACAGGGGGAAAAGAAAGTATCTCACAGGAGAAACAAGGGAGCATATAATCATATGATTTTTTATATTATGGCGCATATTGCGTTACATGAGCTATTTAGTACAGAACAGGAAGTTGTTTAGTTGCCTTACAGGGCTATTGATGCCATTGCAATCATACGTAAGCAGTATATATTTAGGAAAGACTTTTGTGTTATCGCCTTTTGAAGTACATAAGCAAATAGTAGATCATCAGTGTTCATTATTTCAGTATTATAGGATTGCAGAGCTGGTAATGATCTGTGGACCAAGGGATGGCAGAATGATCAATTGTTCTTGATAACTTGATGAGCTCTCTCCATTAGTACCACTGGTTTTGGTATGGCACAGGTAATCTTCTCCTCCTTCTCTGGTATCTGGAAAGCTGATGCAGGGAAGGTTTTCGTAATCCCAGCAATGCTCTTGCAGATGAGTTTCCCAGTCTTTTGTTCATCAAGGGCAATCTCCTCTACTGGTACCCACACCATGAGCTCCCTAGTCTTGATCCCTTTGACTTTCTTGATCCTCCCCTTCTCTGCAAAAGCAGTGATCTCAGTGCCATAAGATACCAACCTTCCTAAGCTTTGGAAGACATGGTCTATCCTCTTCTTTTGCTTGAGCCACACAAATCCAGTTTCCTCAACATAGCCACACTCCATTATGTCCTTCAAGGGAAGAAGGCCATTTGGGAGGCCTGCTTCCTTGAGCAAGAGCCTTGTGCATTGTTGACAGATCTCATCATCATAGTAGACCTCCGCCTTGGCCTTGATTTCATCAGCAATAACAAGAGCCATCTTCTATGTATCTCTTCTTTTTTTCAGCTCTGAGGCAGTTTTTGGAGGCTTGGCTTTGTATGGTATTATGGTTGTGTTGTTCATAGTGAAACTTGGCTACCTTTATATAGGAAATGCCTTGTCAAATTGTGCCTTAACATGCATAGGATTTTCCATCTTGCCATTGTCAGTTAAGGATGGACAATATATCATGCTCATATAAAAGCTGTAGGGTCCTCTGGCTGAGAGTACTTTTGCAGTGATGCAAAAATATCATCCAATAAACTGTAATATGACCTTGTATTATGTGAATATATAGTTCAAACGTGGATCAAAAGACAACGGTGCTAAAAATAGGAGTGTAATTGAAATAATTAATGGTATTTGGAGTTGGCATCCCGAATTGATATTGTAATTTATTTGTCAAAAACAAGCACTTCGGTACCATTAGTTGTCAATATTTCACTTATATATAATTGGAAAAATGTACTCCCTCCGTTCCGTTCCATTTGACGTCGTTAACTTTTTTAAATATGTTTGACCGTTCGTCTTATTCAAAAAATTTAAGTAATTATTAATTCTTTTCATATCATTTGATTCATTGTTAAATATACTTTTATGTATACATATAGTTTTATATATTTCACAAAATTTTTAAATAAGATGAATGGTCAAACAAATTTTAAAAAGTCAACAACGTCAAATGTTGAGGGACCGAGGGAGTAATTACCGGTTGTTGTTTTAAATGACAGATAAAAAAAGTAAAAATAAGAAATAGGAAATCCATCTCAAGTCTTTTGGTCCATTCGTCCCTTGATTGTACTAGAAAGCCTGTTGATGCGCTCGATCTCGTGTACGTATATGATTATTACCTTTTACTTCCTTTACAACAGAAATAATTTATATACTCTTAGATAACTGTATTTGATGAGAATTGCAAGTAACTATACAAATTATAAACTTTTTCATATATAAGCTCATGCAATTTTTAGAATTAGCAGAAAATAGGTACTCTATCTGTTTTAAATTACTTGTCATTCTAACCTTCTCTGTACCTCCCAACCAAAGCTCCCCTCGTCCTTCTGTGTGCCTTTTCTTCTTTAAGAGCACTAGAGTCTAGAGAGCGCGTATAGTTTTTTACCTTCATTGAATGGATGCTTGTGATCCCAAATATTATGATCCAAGTTTATGTAATATACCGGCCGGTTTATCTTGCCATTGGGGCTTAACTGCACTTAAACTGTCATCCTGTAAGCTGCCAACCAACTAACACTATTCAAGTTCTTCCTCCACTACCCAACACCTGACAGATTCGCCATACTCGGTGTCCCTGGAACAGCACATGGAGGTATTCAATATTGTAACATGTAAGCTTGAGATGTGACCTTCAATGTATTCATGGATAATCTGATGAATCTGTTAAGTGGCTGGCGCATTTAGTTTTCTAACCTAACTTTACGGTAGAGACAGTTTCCAGCAGTGCGATTTCGGAGCATTATCTTGTACTAGTACTTAATTATTTATAGGCTAAATAAGGTAGGAAGTGAAACTGTTTATTGTTATAAAATAGTTTAATTGACTGTTATCCCCTTGTACACTTTTAAATTTTGGTCTCAGATATGGAGGATCACTGGTGGAGAAATGGTTATTACTCCCGGTTCGTAACCCCCTATAACCGGGACTACGAAAAAACCGGGAGTAAAAATTCATTTTTAGTCCTGGTTGGTAACAGATAAAGCATCTTTAGTCCCAGTTGGTGTTACCAACCGGGCTAAAGAGGCTAATTCGGTTGCTCTTTCCGGTTCCTCTTTATTCTTTTCTTTTCTTCATTATTTTTTAAATATATTGATTTCACCCCATCCCGTCCCCAAAATCCCAAATCAATCGTCCTCAAATTGCCTCCAAATCCACAAATCGATCATCTCAAATACTCAAATACATCACAAAATCTTTAAAAAAATTACATCACAACTTCTACAAAATTCATCACATATTCACATCACACACAAATCAAATACATCACACAACAATCTCAGATCCAATCAAATACATCACACAACAATCCCAGATTCTCAAAAAAAATAATACAAAAAAAGAAAGCCGCTGCCTCGCCGCGCGTCGCCGTCGCGCCGGCTGGCCGGCCGGCCCACCGAGCCCTGCCGCCGTGCGGCCGCTAGCCGCCGCCACGCTGGCCGGCCCTCCGCGCCCCGCCGCCCTCGCGTCTGCCTGGCAGTAGAGAGGAGAAGGAGAGGAATAGAGACAAGAAGAATAGATAAGGTTGAGGAGAGGAGTTAAAAATGAGAGGAGATAAGGTTGAGTAGAGGAGGAGAGAGGAGTTAAAGGAGAGGAGATACCTCGATCCGATCGCGCCACCTCTCCGATCTCCGCGTCGATCTTTTTTTCCGGTCGGTTTTACCAACGGGACTATAAATGTTACCAACCGGGAGTAAAGTGTATGGCGATCTTTTTTTCCGGTTGGTGTTATTAACCGGGACTATAAATAAATCTTTAGTCTCGGTTGGTAACACCAACCGGTACTAAAGATTGAAAAGTACCCTGTAGCTTTTAAACCGGGACTAAAGATATTTTTAATCCCGGTTTTTAATGTAAAATCTGGTCGACCGACCAAAGATGGTTTCTCCACCAGTGGATATATCTTAAGACTGGTATTAAGTATGTGTGCATAATCATGGTTTGATCTAAATGTTCTTTTTCCAACTGAGAAAGGTCATTTCCTCTTTTGCAAGGCTTTAGATCGAATCAGCTCCTTGGCTTAGATTTTTGGTGGGGCGAGACAAGTCAACAGCGCATGATTAATTGAGTATTAATTATTATAAACTTAAAAATACTATATTTTTATTTGATTTTTTTAAGAAATTTTTATATAAAAAGTTGTTTTTGCGTGAAACACATGTTTAACAATTTAGAAAACATGTTCACGAATCACGATGAACAAGTAGCCTAGCCCAAAATCCGTTTAAAAAGCAACCTAAGATAACGCGTCTAATGTTAGTAGTACATAACTTAATAGTGTCCTCTCATAGATGGGGTCATTTGGCAAGGCATTATTATTGTCATCATGGTCTGGATGTGCTTGGTCTTTTTTTCCTTGAGTAACACAGCATATATGTCCTACATTCATGTACTAGCTACTGTGCATTTTCTCAGGCACCCATGCTGCATCAAGTGGGAACTTATATGGCTGCTTGAGCTATGAACTCCATAATGAGTATACGCGCTTACTGTCTTCCTGCACCAGTTGCATATGCCGGCAGCTGAACAAGGGTTCCATTATTCATGTTGCATACCGGTAGGTTATACAAATTTTCATCAATTTTAGATATAGATTACTTATAAGACTGCAATTTGAATAAATTGTATCTCTTCCTCATTGTTGGCGCCTTTTTTATGCGTCGTCTCTTTAACAAAGATACTATTATCCTTAGTTTTGGAACTAAATTTTAAATTTTATAATAAGTGGTTGTAACTTCTATTGAAGCAAAGTCTGAATTTAATCTATTATTAACTTCTTTTTTGGTTCGCAGCACATCCATTCTCACAGGATCAGATGCATGTGGGAAGAACATAGGCTAAGTACACCATCCATGTGCCTAGATAAATGCTCTTTCATGGTGATGCTGCCCTCTCTCCAGCTCTCATTTATGTAACTATACAACTACTATGAATTTGACCGATGATTTTTATAGCTATATACTCCCTCCGTACTCGTAAAGGAAATCGTTTAGGACAATATTTAAGTCAAACCTTGGGAATATAAATCATGAATAACTCTCAAGTTGTTGAGTTTGAAAATGTAAAAATTATATGAATAGATTTGTCTTGAAAAATACTTTCATAAAAGTATACATATATCACTTTTCAATAAATATTTTTATAGAAACAAGAAATCAAAGTTGTGTTTTGGAGACCGTGTCGCTGTCCAAAACGACTTACTTTACGAGTACGGAGAGAGTATGCAAGATTATATCGAATATATATGCCGACTTTCCTTAAAAAATGCATTGCTGCATGGAAACGGCTAAAGAGAGGCACAATTTTCATTCTTGTATACCTTAGATTTGTTCACACAGCATTGCCACAAAATAATTACTCCTCATTCGTCCTAAAATGTTGCAATCTAGATTATAATGAGATTAGACCCATCCTATTACAATCTTAGGTTGCAACAATCTTGGACGGAGGAAGTAATAAAAATCAGCTCTTATTGGTACATCTAAGGAATGTAAATAATCAGTATTATATTTGTGCATATATTCTTTGTCGGTGATAATAGCATGACAGGATACACAAACTTAGGAAATGCGCTGACACTAGTACAGATAATGTGTTTGTCTAGGTGGCTAATAACCCATTTTCACGGGCATTTTTCTCGATTCACCTCTAGCCTATGGTATACAGAAATCAAGTTTGTGCTGGCGCATGAAAGAACCGCCTGTAAAAATATATCTACAAAGACAAATATATCAAGTTTTCGTCTAAAAAATATGTTTACACGAGCAGATTATTCGGGGTCAATCATTTATTTTATATGTTTGGAACTCATTTTGTTCGTTAAGCAGCTTCTTTAAACGCTAAGTTTGTTAGTGAGTTCGGCATGAAAAATCTATCGTTCATTGTGACCACGCTTCCCAAACTACTAAATGGTGTGTTTCATTAAAAGAAAATTATATGTATTTTTTAAAGAAGATCAAATAAATCATTCTTTTCAAATTTATACTAATTAATACTTGGTTAATAATTTATTAATCGCATGAAAAGAACTAAAGCAAACTTGCCCTTCCCACCTCAGCCTAGAATGAAATACAATTTTCTTTAACTTGCATTTATTGTGTCTGTCCTAATAAACTTGAGCTAATTAAGCAGATGGCTACAAATCTGTCCTCTTTTTTTAGAACTAAATTTGTCTTGAAATATGTATAGTTTGATGGTACTGGTCCACATTGTTTTTATGTGCTCCTGTACGTAGTTGTAGTACAAGTGTTCTACTTTGTGTATTTTGTACATGGCCCTTTTTTTAAGTAGCAATCATGTGACTCAAAAACACATAGAGCATATATTAGTAGGGAAAAAACTACACATTTCTGTATCATGCGATCCAGTGTGTGTTTGCTATTTATGTTCTGTAAACATGTTATATTTAGTATTACCATTTTAAGGTACACGGAGGAATCATTTAGGACTCAGAATACCGTACTTGTTAGTGTTGCACTGATGTTTCTTTTTCTCCCTCAGTACGTATTTGATGTTTTTGAATCATGAAGCAGATTTTTAAGTTTAGAAATTTGCAAGATTTTAGCATTATTCATTCAAATGTGATTTAGTAATTTTTACTGGTGCTCTTGTTAAGGCAGCACTGTACTCTTGCTGGGCCCAAGAATCTCA